GTTCAATCCCCCAGCACCACATGCCAGCCAACCCCGCCTCCAGGTGGGCTGAGCTGGCCACACACACAAAAATAAATAAATAAATAAAATAAATAAATAAAAAAGATTAAAAAAAAAAAAGAAGAAGCTGGGAAGGAGTCTAGCAGATTCCTATTTAGATGAAGGCTTTCTGTTAGATAAAAAAATTGGAGTGAATCAACCAAAGTGAATTGAAAATGCCAAAATTCTTATTGCAAATACTGGGATGGATACAGACAAGATAAAGATATTTGGTTCCCGGGTAAGAGTGGATTCTACAGCAAAGGTTGCAGAGATAGAACATGCAGAAAAGGAAAATATGAAGGAGAAAGTTGAACGTATTCTTAAGCATGGAATAAATTGTTTTATTAACAGGCAGTTAATTTATAATTACCCTGAACAGCTCTTTGGTGCTGCTGGTGTCATGGCAATTGAGCATGCAGATTTTGCAGGTGTGGAACACCTAGCTCTTGTCACAGGTGGTAAAATTGCCTCTACTTTTGATCATCCGGAACTGGTGAAGCTTGGAAGTTGCAAACTTATTGAAGAAGTTATGATTGGAGAAGACGAACTGATTCACTTTTCTGGGGTTGCCCTGGGTGAGGCGTGTACCATTGTTCTGCGTGGCGCCACTCAACAAATTCTAGATGAAGCAGAAAGATCGTTGCATGATGCTCTTTGTGTTCTCGCCCAGACTGTGAAGGATCCGAGAACAGTTTATGGAGGAGGCTGTTCTGAGATGCTGATGGCACATGCTGTGACACAGCTTGCTAGCAGAACACCAGGAAAAGAAGCTGTTGCAATGGAGTCCTTCGCTACAGCCCTGAGAATGTTGCCCACCATCATAGCTGACAATGCAGGATATGACAGTGCAGATCTGGTGGCCCAGCTCCGAGCTGCTCATAGTGAAGGCAGAATAACTGCTGGACTAGATATGAAGGAAGGTACCATTGGCGACATGGCACTGCTGGGCATAACAGAAAGCTTCCAAGTGAAGCGGCAGGTTCTGCTGAGTGCAGCTGAGGCAGCAGAGGTGATTCTGCGTGTGGATAACATCATCAAAGCAGCACCAAGGAAACGTGTCCCTGATCACCACCCTTGTTAGGCGGCATTCGCATGTGCTGTTGATATCTGGACCACTTCATAGCGAAATTGCATTTGAAAGACTTCAATTTCTTAAAAAAGACTGAGGAGTTGACACTTATCTGTGTCCATTATATCCTTATGTTTGGACACTTAGCTGACCTTCTGTTTTAACATGGGTCTAATTTATTTTGTTTGATTTTTTCCATACAATTCAGTTGATAATAAAAATTCATTTCTCTTACTGTCATTAAAATAAAAAATCTAAAAGGAGTAAAAAAAAAAGAGTTCTTCCTAAGAACCAGTTGCTTTTCTTGCAGTCATAGACCATCTTCTAGAACAGGCCCTACAAATATGACTGATAACTATATACTTGGCAGCAGGTAATGTTTTCTGCATTCCTACTACCCAGACTCTCCTAAAAAAAACAATCCACCCATACAGAGAAAGGGCACATGTTACTATTTCCAGAATGTACTGAGTACATTTCAAAATAACCATTCTAGAAAATGTGTACTGGTAGTTCACTGCCAGGTCTAGCCTAAACTACTGGCATTTTTCTTCCATAAAGTATGTACATTTTGATCAAGACTTTGAGAGAGTAAGCAGTGCATAAGTGAGAGTAAACAGTGTGTAAGTGTTTCTTCTCTTTAGGGTTTTAACTGTTTGAAAAGTAGAAATGTATAGCTGGTCCTGCTGGTGCATGTCTGTCATTCCAGAACGCTGGAGGCTGAGGCAGGAAATCACCTGGCAGCTAGCAGCAATGACAACTGGGCAACTGAGTGAGACTCTGTAGCAAAGAAGTATGTATATTCATTCCTGAGAGTGTGAGGGTGTAGCATATTTTGAAGGCTCTGAGTTCAGTGTGCAGTACTTAAAAGAGAGAAAGAGAGGGAAGGAGGGAGGGAGAGAGAAAGAGAAGAAAGAGAAGGAAGGAAGGAAGGAAGAAAAAGAAAAGAAAAGAAAAGAAAGAAAGAAAGAAAGAAAGAAAGAAAGAAAGAAAGAAAGAAAGAAAGAAAGAAAGAGAAAAAGAAAGGAAAAGAAAGAAAGAAAAAACGGAGGCAGGCAAGGCTAGTTGTTAGTTTAGGGCATTATAGTTATACAGCGAAAAACAGATGATTATTGCTTGTGACATCTCACAAATACTTTGATGTTTTCCTTTTAGACTTTTCAAAAATATGTGACATGTAGGTGGTGGTCTAGAGCAAATATGTCCAGTAATTTGCCTTAGAAAAAAGAAATTATGCTGCCATGGAGTAGAACCAAGTGAAACTGGAAACAAACATGTCAGCCTCAGGACAGTTAAACAGCCCAGTATCACCACTGTTTATTTTTTTAAATGCCATTTTCATTAGCTCTCAGTCATTGAAACCATTTTTAAGAATGCAGCTAAAGAAAGGTCAGTGAAAAGGATAAATTGTGCATTGTAAAGTTACATTTCTTTCTGTGGGCTAAGATTGTGCCCAACAGCAAGACATGGCACAAACTGAACAGTTAAGCATTTATCGAATGTCTAAGTAGTTTCAGTCCAAATGTGCATCCATATTTTACCATCTGTAGAAATAAAAGATATAAACACAGCCCAGTATTTCTAATATGGTAGCATTTGAGATGTTGGTAAACATCACAGATAAAGAGCCAGAATTCATGTTCAGAATGTGTGTGAGTCATGCACATGCGTTTATTGCTGTAGAGCAGAGGCCAATGAAGAACAAGTTTCTCAAAGATGTTGCATGAAATGAGGTAGATTTGTGTTCTGTGTGGTGTGCTCTTGGGGACTGACTCTGTGTGCAAATGAAAGTTAAGCTCTGGACAATTTTATTATTTAAGCAGGGGAAGAAAACCTCCATATCTGGCTTTCTTATAGAATACTTAACATGCACAAATAGTTGCCTATTTCATATGTACATATTATGCATATTTTATAAATACAGGAAGTTTTGCACAACATTGTAAGTGGTGCATCTCCCCCAGTCACCCACTTTCACATTCCAGAAAAGCATACTCACTGAAAGATACTTTAGGAAATGAATGAATCGCCTCTAAAACTTGTATCTGACCTATGTGGATTACAATTAATTGGGTTACAATTTCCTGCACTACCTCAAACTCCACCCATGTTCACAATATCCACACCAAAGGTCTTAAAAATGGTGCCACACTCTAGGTATGTCCCATGACTCCATTGCACTGAGGGATTTGACCCCTGGAGCCACAGATTATTCTCACCCTGGGCACTCTAGTCAATCAGCCAAGATGCTATGGAACTCAGAGCAATGAGCTGGAAGCACTTCCTAGGATTCTTTGGACTGCACTACCTTTGTTAGAGGCTTAGTCTCTTCTCCTCTTGGCTCTCTGCCAATAAAGTTGCCACTGTTCCTAGGAATACAGAGACCCAAACTTTCCTTATCTCACTATTGAAATGTGTTTTTGTTTTTGTTTTGTTTTTTGAGGTGTCCTTTTCTGACTAAAGAATTCTCATCTTTTTCTATCAATTCTTTTCTCCACTCAGGCCCCCTTCTTAAGATCTCCCTACATTGTCTTACGTTCTGTAGACCAGCCTGTTTATCAAGCTTGCTTTAAATTCTTTCCTTCCCTATGTGCTTGTCATCCTCACCCTTACACCTGCAAATAAAGGAGACATTAAATTAATGAGACATTGTCTCAGTTTCTCTTACTTTCTACATAATTACTTGTTGGACACTTCCCCCCTCAATGCATCTTTTGTACCGGAACCATATTAGTGACACTTCTGTGTATTGCCGTAGGTGCTGTATTACCTCAGTGCCTATCAGAGGGCCAGAGCTACTCAATTACTTTGTTACTCAATACTAAATAAAAACGCAGGATTGTTTGGGAGAACAGATTTGAGACTGCAACCATATGACATAGTTAGCGTTCCATTTTTGAGCCAACCTGCTGGACCATGGTGCAGTTCACTTTACTCAGTTGTAAATTGTGCCCCTTTTCATAACAATGCTATGAGAATAGTCTCTTACACCTAACAGGCATCCAAAGATAACAGCTTCTGTTGCCTCTTATGGAGTAAATGAGTAAACAAACCAAAGGGAGGTTGTCTGACCTTCTTTTGCTCTCTGGTGGGCTTCTGTGAGACTCAGACTTCTAGACAGAGGGATCAGTTTGCTTCTGTCAGGAGTGGTTCTCTAAGGCTGCTGTCAGCCTCCCCCCTGCCTTCTCAGTATCTCCTGGTAGCTTCCCCACTGTCTCTTCAGAAGTTTTGTGTACCTTGAAAGCTCAGGGTCAGCCCTAAGGCACTGATCAGCTGCAGATTGCCTGAACCACACAAGCCTTACCTTCATCGTGGGTTACTGAAATGTCTAGTGTTTTCCTATAATTCTGTCTGATTCCAAGCCTGTACTTCAGAAACACAGCTTCCTCCCACCTGGTTGTCTTCTGCGTCAGACCCTCAGAGCTGCTGCCCTGTGCCTCTCAAGGCAGTGGAGATTCACCATCTGGTGTGAGAGGGCAAAGGCAAAGTCAAATAGAAGCCAGTAGCTCAGGCCTGAGTGGCTGAAGGATGTATGATAAAAGCAAACCTGTCCTCTAGGGAAGGATGATACAAATTTAGCAAAATCTGTATGAGATTCTGATTCATTGTAATTCTTAGCTATTAAATGGGGAAAAATAAGTGAAAACCACACTGAATCGTGCTAACCAAAAGTCAAGATGACTTTAGATTTAAAGCGTAACTTATAGATTTTAAGCAACTCGGATTATTTCAGCATGAAGTTATAATGCATAACATATTCCTTCTGATTCACTGTTATTTTATTTAAAAAAAACTATTCTTCTTCTGATAGAAATGGGCTTACCCATCATCAAAAAGTGTTATGTCTCTTCCTGTATTTTAAACTTTCTCTCCTAGCTGACAAGAAAAAAAAAATCTCAGGTGAAATGTTTCCTCAGCAAAATATTCTTTTCTGTAACTGAGTTTCCCTTAACAAAAGTAAGTGTTGTGCTGTGTTACAGCCTCACTGTCAGGAATGAAGAAAGAGGGGAAAGTGCAGGAAGACCCATCCATACAACGAAAATGGAGAGCATCCAGGTCCTAGAGGAGAGGTGAGTGTGGTGGCGTCCATGGGGTGCTTGTCCCTTCTGTTTCTCTGCTCCTCACAGCCTCAGAGGCCCCAGGTGTCATCTCTCCATTTAGGGGACTGAACAGAATTGTCTTGTGAAGGGGACACTGACACAGCCTGGGAGTCTTTTGTGACTGCAGTGAATTTTTATGAGCTTTACTATTAGCTATGTTTATCGTTACCTAACATTATCATCTTTCTCTTTCAAAAGATAGAAAAATTACTGCATTCATTAGGCTCTTAAGTTGCCATATTTTTTACTTCTCTTTTTCTGAGAACGTTTTAGATTCTCTTCATGAAAGTCTAAAACCATACACAAGCTGGGCAGGGTGGTGTGCACCTGTAATTCCAGCACTCACAGGGATGAGGCAGCAGGATCCCCTAAGGTTCACGGTCAGCCTGTCTACACAGTGAATTCAAGGCTAATCTAAACTGTACAGTGAGACCCTGTTTCAAAATAATAATAGTAATAATAGTAATAAATGAACAAAAAACCAAGACAAACATACACACCTAACAGACGCAAAATCTCTCAAGTCAGTCAGGAAGGCTGCCCAGTGGACTTTCTTATATCAGAATATACCAGAAGCAAAATGAGAATTCAGGTGCAGTAGCTAGAGGATAAAAGCACAACTTGACTACTCATACAGTTACAAATGCTTTTTCTGCAGGGGAGGTTTTTAATGATGTTTTAAATAATTTTAACCTCAAATTCTAAAATTTGGCAGTAAATAAAAAAGCTCATATGTTATGGAATAATGATAAATCTACTTAAAATAACTGGTCAAAAGATTAAGAAAACATAAAATAGTAATACCCTTTTGATCAAATATATTTTTAGATTTTAAGCAATTTTAATTTGGGGGGCTGGGGAGTTAGCTCAGTAGAATAAGCGCTTGCCTGGCAAATGCAAGGGCCTGAGTTCAATTCCCGGTTCTGTAAAAAAAACAAAAACAAAAACAAAATTAAAAAAAAACTAATTCTGTAAGTATGAAGTAGTAACAGATAACAGTGTTCATCCAGATTTATTTTAACCATCCTGTCCTTTGAGATATTAGCAAGTGGAACATAACTGGTGGTCTCCGCAGTGAAGCAGTCACTGAAAATCTGCACGTGTATTTCTAAGAACTCCCAGTGCCTCCACCAGCAGTGTATGTCAGTTTCTTAGTTGCCCAGGTCACAGCTCCTGTTCCAGTTCCAGCTGCTCCTGTCTCTTCGAAACAGCTGGTCACTGTGAGGCATAGCAGGTCACTATGACACACACTGTGCAAACCAATCCCCAGTGGACAAGTCATTCTGCCTCTGTGCTTCCTGCTTGTTTGTCCCATATAAGCCCTAGACCACCAGAGATGAGGGCTGGATACTCTGAGAATGAGCCTGATCAGTGCCCGTCTATGTAAATAAGTCTGCCCCCAAGTCCTGGGTGTTGTTTCAGTGCTTCTGCTTGCTGTTGCAACAGTGTCATTTTCAGAAACAAGTACACTTAATATGATCTTATGTTAGGTCCCATTACTAATGAAAAGTGCCTACTACTGTAAAAGATAAACTGTTTCTCATGAGTGGAAAGTGGAAATCTGTATCATGAGACAAAGAAAAACATTCAGTTTGTCCTTCAAGGTAATTTATAGTGTTTTTATCAACTTGCAGTGTATCGTTAGAGTTTGGACATTGCCAAGCTTTATTAAGAATTTACAGGGGCTAGAGGTAGCTTGGCATTCTAAGCGCCTGCTTGGCAAGTGCAAGGCCCAGGGTTCGATCCCCAGCACCACATGCTGCGCTGCCCCTACCTGGGCACACTGAACCCGCCACTGAGTCTGGATGTGGTGGCACACACCTATATTACAGTGCTGGGGAGTCTGAAAACAGGAGGATCACTAAGTGTCTGAAAGACCCTGTACCAAATAAATAAATGACTGGAAAAGTTTTTAATAATTTATCATATCCAGGTGATGTGATGTATGACTCATTAGTATTTGAACCCTTCCCCCACTTTCTCCCATGTCATGACCACCATGTTTGTCAAGACCCAGAAATAACTTCTGCGTCCTGGCAGTATTTGTCAGATCAGACCAGACTGAGAGACAAAGTACTCACCGCTAGATGGCAGCATCCAAATAGACTTCTTACCTGCTCTGCTCCATACCTAGACTAGCTTTTAGAGGTCAGAATTGTTTTTAAAATAACCCTATTCTGTTTCTGCAGCCAAAGCCCCACTGCAGATGAAGTCTTATCCTGGTCTCAGAGTTTCGACAAGATGATGAAGGCCCCTGCAGGCAGAAACCTTTTCCGGGAGTTCCTCCGAACAGAATACAGTGAAGAGAATCTGCTTTTCTGGCTTGCCTGTGAAGATTTAAAGAAAGAGCAGAACAAAAAAGTCATTGAAGAAAAAGCCAGAATGATATATGAAGATTACATTTCTATTCTATCACCAAAAGAGGTAAAAATTTGGAAAACTTTGAGGTGGGCTTTCTAAAAAGACCAGATAACCCTAAAAGGCCTGCTGTGCAAATTGAGTTGTGCCTGGCATTGTCAGAAGACTTTATTGGGGAGGTTGGAGACCTTCAGTTCTGAGTCTCCCAGAACTCTGAAGGGTAGTTTCCCTGTGATGCTTTGATTGTTGGTTTCTGGCTGAAACCTGTATGGCAGGTCACTTGCTTTTCAGAATTAACACCTTGGAACCTTTTAAAGCAATTATCTGTGACTTAAACTAAAATAGAGATGAGTTTAGTAAGATATCCCTCAAAGCTTGATCCCCAGATCACTTGCATGATAATTGCCTGAAGTGTTTGTCTAAAAAGCAAATTCTTGAGGCCTGTCCAGGATTTCTAAATCTGAATGTTTGAAAGACAGACTAAGAATCTACACTTTTTTTTTTTTTTTTTTCTGAACTGGGGATTGAACCCGGGCTCTTGCACTTGCCAGGCAGGTGCTTATTCAACTGAACTATCTCCCTGGCCCTGAATCTATACTTTTATTTATTTATTTATTTGTTTTTTGAGGAACCGGGGATTGAACTCAGATCCTTGCATTTGCCAGTCAAGCGCTTATCCTACTGAGCCATCTCCTGGGCCCCTACACTTTTAATAAAATCAAAGACTATTGTAAATGTTCAAATTAAAAAATAATTTATTATAGTAAAAGACTCCTTTTAGTACCCCTCAAAATACTCCCGCTCACTTCCAACACATGTACTGCACCCCATCATTTTTGCCACTTTCTGAAGCAGCTCTGGGAGTCCTTTCTTCGTATCTAGTTGTGCTGTCATGGCTGCCTCACAGTATTGAATTGATTCAAAGTGTTTACGTTCACTAGAAATTTTGACTTTGAAGAAGAGCCAGCCTTTGCTCAGTGCCAGATCTGCTGAATGAGGTGGGTGAAGACCCCTTAACAATGTTTGAGGAGCCTGCTTTTCTATTGAATGGCACTCTGCAGCGGCATCCACCATATGTTTTATTATGCCTCATAGTGAGACTCATAAAAAAGACTTTCAGAACTACATCAGATGCTAGGAAAAATGA